AATATCTATACATTAATTACGTAAGCTGATTCTTTGCGTCAAAATTGTGGGCGACTGGGAAGTCGTAGAACGACGGGAGAGGGCTCAAATTAAAGGTCTCGATCCTGTGACGGCAGGAAAAATAGTGAAATTCCCCAAATGTTTATACAAAATTACATATAACGTAAAATCGTCTCCATAAGAATAGCATGAGAAGCCATTTACTGCTGATTTTTGTTTACTTCAATACAGCTGATGGTGATTTATCATTAACCCTTTCCAGACGGGTGACAGATATATCCACCTAAGTCTTTGGTGATAAAGGGCAGGTGGCGAATATATCCCCTTATGGTTTTTGATGTCCCGGACGGGAAGCGGATATATCCACCTTCTCTTCAGGCAGACTGGCAGGTGCTTGAGTAGTAACCAGATGTTTCGCGGTACCAAGGCGTCACTTTCCTGCTCTCTCCATGGCTGCGCTCTCTCCCGCACTCCCTTCTCTCTCCCGCGCCTACCCCTCTCCCGCACCTACCCCTCTCCCACGCCTCCCCTTCTCCCGCGCAACCCCCACCTCTCCTACGCTCCCCCCTCAACGTTTTGCGCTCAACACTACGTTTATTGTTTACATATTGTTCTTTATTTAGGCCTATTGCCTAACGTTGTCATCGTCATATCTTCAAAGACGGGTAGCGGATACATCCACAATTTATATAATAGTATGGATATGAATTTGAACGGATGGTGATTTTGTTCTCTGGGGACTTTGTAAGGTACCAAATTTTAAGGGGGGTAAAAACGTACTACGAATAAATGAACATCAGAACTTACCCGATTTTTAACCACAATAGCCTACTCCTAGGCCTATGTGTTGGCCATAGCTTGGGTTATGGGCCAAAGAACGTAGGCCTATTTTTATTCACAGTGAAGTACACAAACACATCCACAACTACATATTTATTCATAATAGCACTTCGTTTCACATAATAAAGTTAAACCGGCCGATTTTACAGGTATTTAACGCCGACGACGACATAACCCCAAACTAGTTTTTATTTGTTGACAGACGACAGACGAGAACTAGACCAGCTCAAGAGCTCAACAAGTGAATTTGCGATCAGCTGTTGTCTAGTAGTACTTGAGTTCACCGCTTGAGCGCGTAAGCCTCGAGCGGGCAGGAACGAAGGATTTTACTCCAAGACATGATTATTCGTTCATACGCCGTCTTCGAAGTAACTTCGTCGTTACATCTACGCTCGCACGATAATCGACACGACTGTACGATTTTGTTACGAAGGTTAGCTAGCATACTTAGTTAGGACCTTTTCACGTTTTATGTTATTTTTATTTTAATCTATTGTACCTTTTCGCTTTCTTTACATCCCAATTCGAATTATATAAATTGTAATAACTTCGTTTTCGCCGACTTGCATAAAACCCGCCAGTTCCTGCCTGCCAGTAACTAGCGGTGGATATCTTTCGGTTCGTTTAAATTAATTTGCTACGAAATTACGTTTATTCTGTTCGTTTAGCGATTAGTTATTACTTAAATTATTCTAGTCAATTCGTCGTTTAATACCCCGAGACTTTTCGTCTGAGTTCTAAACCCCGTCTTTGGCAGGTGAAAGAATCAAGTTTTGGGAGCAGGCCGATTTTAACAATCAGCCACAAATATTAATATTAACATTGTTTTCAATCATATCACGATAAATTATCCGTTCAGTTATATTAATAAGCCCCGACGACTCTGTAGAAATTGTTTGACCTTACATTTTATATTAGATCGATTACCAACGTACCTTTAACTAATTAGTTGCAGTTTAACGAGTATTTACATCACATTGGCTAAGATTCGTTCCATTCATTGGCCCCACAGAGTTATTCCAAAGGTTAGGCAAAATTTAACAAAACACTTTAACGAAGGTAAGGATGATATATAGCTCCAACTGAGCGTCTGCAGGATTTCCTGAACGTTTCCTGAGCTCTGATCCTTCGATTAAAGTTCAATAAATTGATCAGTCAAAGCCGTGACAACTTCGTATCGACCCCTGGAATTTCTCGGCTCCTTCTGAGCACTCCGGGGAAGAAATTTGAGTGTGGCTGGTTCTAGGGTAGGCCTAGCCTGACTTTGGTGAATACTAGTTTATTCCCCCCCTAGAATTTTGCGTCACAACTTCAATACGAAAAGTAAATCGGTCCCAGGCCGATTCTTACCATGAAACCTACATTAATAATTTATTCCTTATGGGAAATTTGCTAAAAAAAATAATATCGTTCAGTTACCTGTTACACCTAACATTAACCCCTTGATCCTTTTGCACATGTACAACGCCTGCCTAGTCGAAGGAGTTTTCCCCTCGTGCTGGAAAACAGCTTGTGCTTGTTGGGAAGGGGAAGGAGACCCAGACCTGCCATCCTCTTACAGATCTCTGGTATGTTGGATATGGCTGGCAAAGTCCTCGAGAAGTTGATCCGTTCCCGACTGAATTCAGCCGTGGTCGCTGCGGGGGACCTGTCCCCTCGCCAGTATGGATTCTGGATGGGGCGATCTACGGTTGACGCTGTTGAGGAGGTGAAGCAAGCCGTGATGAGAGCTGAGGATTTTAACCACTACTCTCGTAGGGTTGTGCTGCTCGTAACTCTCGATGTGCGAAACGCATTTAATTCTGCGAGGTGGTGCGATATGCTAGATGCTCTGGAGAACACCTTCCACGTTCAATAATACCTCATGTGTATCATAGAGGATTATCTCCGGTTCCGCCTCCTCATGTATGAAACTACAGAGGACCCACAGACGACGAGTGTCACTTCCGGTGCTGCCCAAGGTTTTATACTCGGCCCAGACCTCTGGAATGTCGCATATGACAGCCTCCTGAGGTCTGAAATGCCTGAGGAAACTGTTTTGGTTGGGTACGCAGACGAAGTTGCAGTTTTGATAGCTGCAGAATGCGTTGAGCTGGCTCAGCTAAAGCTGAACCGAGTTATGCGTACCATAAACGCATGGATGACAGACCACGGTCTCTCGGTTGCTTTGAGCAAAACTGAGATCGTGATATTAACAAAAAAACGGATTGACACCATCGTGCCATTGAGGGTGGGGGCCGTCGAAGTTCAGACCGTTCTTTCTGCCAAGTACCTTGGGATTATGGTGGACAGCAAGCTTAGCTGGCGGGATCAGATTTTCCGTACGGCGGACAAGGCTGCTAGGGTGGTCTCCTCTCTTAGTCGGTTGATGGCCAATGTTGGAGGTCCTCGGTCCAGCCGTAGAAGGCTGTTAATGTCTTCTGTCCAGTTCGTATTCTTGTACGGTGCTGAGGTGTGGGCAGACGCTCTCAATAAGGAGGTATATAGGATGCGGCTCGCCCGAGTGCAGCGTCAGGCAGCACTAAGAGTTGCATCCGCCTACCGAACAGTGTCCGAACCCGCTGTCCTGGTGGTTGCTGGAGTCATCCCCGTCAAACTTTTGGCGGCGGAGAGAAAGGCAATTTATCAGCGCCGTGGGGAGGACCAGGCATGAACAGAGGAACGCACCTGCACCTACCAGCTGTGGCAGGAGAGCTGGGAACAGGAGACTCGGGGACGCTGGACCAGGCGACTGATACAGCAAGTCCAACCTTGGGTTAATTGGCAGTGCGGAGAGGTGCACTTCTACCTCACCCAATTTCTGACGGGTCACGGCTTTTTCCGGTCGTACCTGTTCAGGATGGGCAAAGCCGTGTCACCCGATTGCATATACTGCCCAGGCATTCCCGATGACGTGGAACATACCTTTTTCCACTGCCAGCGTTGGGAATGGCCCCCCCTGGAGGCTCAACAGTTAGTAGGACTGCTGTCAGTGGACACGGTCATACCGATGATGACGGAGGGTGAGGACAATTGGACCTGTGTGTCACATTACATCCAGGGCATTCTCCGCGCCAAGAAGCTCGACCTTGACCGGAATGCGGTGTAGGTCATAAAGTATCTAAAAGCCAAAAATGGTGAGAGCCCTGAGGGCTTAGGTCACATGTTGGCCTGACAATTCCAGGTCTGTGTCCAACAGAGTAGAGGGGTTTTTTTAATGAGTAGTCTGTGATAGATTCAGGAGTCTCACACTACAGGCTGGCTACCTGTGTGCGCAAAAGCATTTTCCCTCCTCTCCCTTAAAAAAAAAAAAAACAAAAAAAAACACCTAACATTGTTAACAGACTTTCTGTATCAAATTTACAAAAAATTAGGGATGGTCAAGTCTCGAAATTTCGGGAAATTTTTGGGAAATTTTCAATCTCGTTACACGAGACGAGATTACTTTTTGGCCGAGATTTTTATCGAGACGAGAAAAAAAAAAAAAAAAAAAAAAAAAAATTAAAAACGCCTGCAGAAAGTCAATGCAATACCCGCAATACAGGAGCGTGTTGTAGTTGCGTTTCCTTTTCGAAGGCGTTCTTATTTAATTAATTCTTTTAATGTAAATATTACTTTAATTCTTTTAATGTAATAATATTACTTTCATTATTTTAATAATATTACTTTAATAACATTTGAGAAGTTTTGTTAAGTGTAAGCAGTGTGAGGAATGTTTTATTACTATAAAAAAGTCAAAACAAGTAACTATTTTATAAAAATTAATATTGCTTTTATTTTATGATTTATTTTATTTTAGGATAAGTTGAACTCTATCCTAACTGATATCACCATGTTTCCTAATCGTAGGCATTTTTAATAAGTTAGGCGTGATTAATACAAAAATGTTATGCTGATGTTATTTAATGAAAGATTGTAAATATTCTTGCCTATTATCATTATTTTAGTATTTAAACAGTCATCTAACAATGTTACAAAATCAGGTAAAAATTTTGAACGTGCATTTCCCGTTGTGTATGAGAAGAGAAATCTCGTCTCGATCTCGTCTCGAAATTTTATGAGAAATAAAAAATCTCGTCTCGTCTCGTCTCGAACTAAAAATCCAATCTCGTCCATCCCTACAAAAAATAAGTAAAAATCAGATAGCTATGGTACTTAATTGAATTACCTTTTTTTTACAGCCATTAGAACACACATGCTACCTAGAAAAAATGAGCGACGTCATGGCAGTGTACATTGACATAGAACTGAAATCTTCAAGGTGAGTTCAGGGCTATGATTTAAGCTTCTATGTTTCTTTAGCTAGTATAATCTTTTATGATTTGTGTTATCTCTGTGGCCTCAAAAGTTTGTGAAGTAATTAGTTAAAGCAATTCCAGCGCTGTTAGCTGGTTTGAGGTCCAGACAAAACTTATTTTAATGTCAGAAACATTAATAAATTCTTTGTTTCAATTTATTTGCAATAAACTGACAACAGACTTTGAATCAGCAACAGTTTATAAATGGTCGTGACTGTTCCTCCTCACCTAATAAGATTTGTTCATTGCCTAACAGTTACAGATCCAAATTCATTCCTGTAAAGACAAAAAAGTTAATTAAGCAGCTATCAAGTAATCCTTTTGTTACAAATAAGGCGTGCAAACCTGTTGTTATACTACCCTTACTATTATTATTATTTTTATACATTTTATTTTTTATCTTAAAGCAACTTTATTAACAGCAAATAATTGTTTATAATCTAATTTTGGGCTATTAATTTCTACTTTCATCCTTTTTTTCTCTACTGGAAACTAAATAGAACTCCGTTTTGTTTTAGGAGGGGAAGGGAACATCCCAAGAAAATAGCTGAAAGAATTTGCACATCTTTGTTCATCTTCTTAGGTGAGTACTAATTTCAGAAAACTGGGCTAATTTGGCTGATAATCAGGAGATTAGTTTCCTGAGAATGTCAGCAGCTTTTTATTTTATAATTAGAATAAAGTGGTCTCAACTGCTCCTTTTTTGCATGTTTCCTTATAGGGAATAATATATTATCGTAAGTCTAACACCCAGAACCAATTTTTTTTACTTTTTTTGTTTTGATGTCCCCTAAGGCCAAAAACACTGGCCATTCAAATGCACACACTTTTTTTATGTTTACTAACTGTGTGCCCGTTCTACGGACTGGGATCTTGTAGTCGAAACCATTAAGCAAATTTCCCTGTAGGGAAGTAGCTTTTACCATAGGTGGCATGGTAAGACCTAGTCCTGGGACCGATTTACTTTTTCATTTCGATGTCCCCAGAGGCCAAAAACACCATTCGTCCAAATATTTATATATACTGTTTTCGGGAACAATATGTTGATTTTGGTGTCTTTCTAGGCCTAAATACCGGCTTAGTTTAAAAAGAAAACACCGGTGAAATAATTGAAGAATAATCTTTACCTTTTTATTTACAACTCATAATTAATTTGTCACAAACATATAAAAGTACACTGTAACTCCCATGTCTGACAGATTTCGGTGAGGCCAAAGTATGTAAGATGTAAGATGATCCTGACCCGGAACGCCAACGCTCAGCTCAGCTGAAGTATAATCTATACTTATTTAATACGCAAGCAGGGTTTTTGTGACTATTACTCCTCCTAAACTACTGAACCGATTGACTTGTTTTTGGTGTCATTGGAAAGAGCGTAACATGAAGTTGTGCAGGAAACTTTCTTTTTAGGGAAATAATTAGAGAGTGAGGCCCAGGGGCCCTTTAAAGTTTTGTATTTCTCTATAAGATTGACATGGGAAACAAACATTTGTTATGAAACTCCAGCTGTTGTCAGAAATTAAAAGTGAGAAGAATAACATGTGTTAATTTTAAACAGTCAATAAGTGTGCTAATTTAACAGTTTGCTACGTACACATTTACTGACTTAGTTGAAATTAAATATTTACTATTTGAATTTGGGTTGGCGTAAATACAGTCTAACCTTGATATAACAAACCTCGATATAGCGAATTCCTTGATATAACGAATTTTTTTTTATCCCCTAGAACTCTCCATAAGACACAATGCATATTTTACCTCTACATAACGAACAAACCATAACAACGACCTTGATTTAACGAATTTTTCATGATTTCGGCTAAAATAAGACACCTCAATATAACGAATTTATCATTGTCAGAACCTCTACATTGCGAATTTAACCTCTGCATAACGAATTGTCTACGTCTTTCCCTCGATATAACAAATCCCCCACCCAATTATTGTTTTGGGAAAATCTGTTTCTTTATCAAATAAAATGGAAAGGTCACGTCATCGCTTGCGCTAACATTCGTCTGCTCCGTTTTACATCTTTGTCTGCTGTTGCTGCGCGCGCTATGCTGCAACTGAGAACTGATTTCATTCTCTGAGGACTGATGACGACGTAATGTTTAGTAAGCTGTGATTGGGCGATATGGGATAACTATGGTGAATTTTAAAATTTTAAAAGAGAAACCTAAGAAAGAATATAAAAACAAAACCAAAGAGAAAGAATAGCAACATCGTTATTTTAACATTCCTTTTACTAGTGTTTTTATTATCCTTAAGTTGGCTATGATTATACACTTTTATAATGACTTATCTAATAATTTATTGTTTTCAATACGATTTGTTTCAACTAGCAACACCAATGCTATAGTTAATGATTATTATTGACATTCCTCTGTTGTGATAAATCAGTACTGTACTGTAGTAGCCTACCGGCCTATCGCGAGCAGTAGCTTACAAAACTTTCTACTGTTTTGTTTTGTTCTTTACATGGTTTATGACTTCGCAATACAGTGTTTGGCTAGGTTTTAGGAGGGTTAGAACAAGCTGTGATTTAAACTTAGCTTTTAACCTGTACCAAGGTCAATGCCATTGTCATGACTGTGCAATATTCAAGATCCCTTCCCTTTATTATGCCGGATAATTTAGATTCTACTGTACAATGTAAACACTACACTGTAAAGTATTGTAGCCTTTGCTACTTTAATTGTATTTTAATGAGGTCGAATCCCGACCTATATTGACCGACGCTGGTTCTGAACCTCGACTTAGCGAAATTCCTGCAAACCTAACCTCTATATAACGAACCTCGTTTTAACGAAATCCTTGATATAACGAATATTCAGTTCGGCCCCTTCAGATTCGTTATACTGAGGTTGGACTGTATTACAATGGAAAAAAGAGAGAAAGCCTGGACCATTTGATATACTAAAAAGAAAACTGAATTAACACTGTGCTGCATTTCTTAGTAATCATTGAAAGAGCTGATTTGCAAACTATGGAAACATAGGAAAGTCATAGAACACCACCAAGGAGAAGAAATAGAAATAATGTTTTTTTTTTTATTTAATCGCTATTAAGGACAACCTAATGCGGCTATGAGTAAGGCTATATGTAGAAAACGAAAACACTAAAAAACAAGAACAGCTTTTGAAAAATGATAAGATATGTATACTAGTTATTTTAAAAGTTTGTGTTGTTTCACAACCATGCAGCCTCAGAGTTGTAATAATAACTAGGTGAAACCCGTCGAAATCGACGGTTACTTTTGAGGCTTACGCTAATTCATCTAACTGCGATAAATTGAGTGAAATTATACATATTTTGAGCATTTAGCATTGATAAGTGTAAAAACAATAATGATATTAATTTCGTTAGTTACCAAATATGGTTGATCATTCAATGAATAAAATATAAAATATTTCCCATACTGTAGGCTACGTCATCGTAGTTGTTAGTATGCTATCTGGTATCTCTTCCTTTAGAAGAACCTTTAAATAGTATTAAAATCGTATTGGTGGATCTTTTGTAGTTAAACACTTCCGTGATTTCATCAGTGTAATGCAGATTAATCTATGATTTTATTTGAACAAAAAAATCTGTCTGTTGGGAAGACACGTTCTAACTTCAAAGGGAGGTATATCCGTTACAGTGTAAGTTTGATTTTTCCTTCGTCACGTCGCGTCAGTTCATATCGTACTTCTGTGCCGATTAATAACACTCTAGCACAGTTTTGAGAAATTGGTTGTGGTGTTACTGTTATAGCTGGAATTCCTTGACATGGGCAGGGTGTCTACCAACCGGGAAATCCGGGAAAACCGGGAATTGTACTTAAATTTTTACTGGCCATGAAATGTACGGGAATTGTCCTTAAATGCCAGACTATGTCCTTTAATTTTTAATGGGCCATAATTTTATTGATCGCTAGTTGGTTAGGAGCACATAAAAGGTTTATCAGATGTTTGTTTACATTTTCATAATTTATTACTAGAGTAATTATGCAATAAAAATCCCATTAACAATCTCAAACCCATTAATATTTTATCACGACAATCAAGTGTCAAGTCAAGTACTTCCAAGAACTGTTGACTCAGCAGCTAGCTCATAAAAGTTGTATCACTTTTATTCCTTTATAACTTCTTTTTTTATTACTAGGGTAATTATTATTAGATCCCAAACCTATTTTATCGTGAAAATAATAGCTTTATAATGGCTGTTAAATTTCCGCGGCCAGTGCCTAGTGCCATAAAACTGTTTATGGTTTCATATTAAACATTTAAATAATGTACAGTCTTATTTTGTAAGTTAACCCCTTTTTTATGGACATTTTATCTTTCAATTGACAAAACCACAAGCATTGTTGTTTGCATTAATGTTTTATTACTATGTAGGCCTGCTTGGTTTCAAATTATGTCATTGCATTTTCTGTATCTTTGTCTTATATTGTTGGCTATTCAGGTTTCAATGTTTTTTTGTTTCCCATATATTTATTTATTGAGTTGTATGCTTTAAGCAATCTAAATCTTTTGAACTAGAATGATGATAGTGACTTTGCTGCTATTATAACCTCATTGTTTGTTACTCAGTTTATATAGGCCCTCCTAAATAATTAGGTCTAGGCCTGGGTATTTTGATTCTTGAAAGAGCTGTAAAATATATTAAGAAAATGTAATTGAGCCTAACATAAACAACTAAAGATTGCTATGTGTGGATATTAACTTTGCAAATGAAAATACAATAATCTTACTCTATGCTTATTGCTTATTAATAGCCGCTTACCATACCTTGATTTTGTACTAAGAATTGAGTAACAATATGCATTAAAGATTTTTTTTTTCAAAAGTAGTCAAGGAAAACGTTGTGCCAGGGCGAATCATGCCAAATTAATCGGCCTGTATCGGATAAGCTATGTTATGAAGTTTACGTGACCGATGGAGATATTTGTCGCTATCGCAGGAGACAATGATTGCGTTTCTCTGTTTCACTATAAAAGCTTTACCTAAAATATAGGTAGGCCTATGTTTGTTTACTTTCAATAAATTACTATTTTGTAATTTTTAACTCTTATCTATTATTATTTACTTTTCTCTCTGGTACAACTACAGTGAATAACAAGATTAATACAGTTTGACAAATCAGGAAAATTATTCGGAAGGCCTAATGACACCGACAAAGGTTACGGCAAAGTGTCCTTAAATGTACGGGAATTGTCCATGAATTTTTTATCCAGAATGTAGTAGACACCCTGATGGGGGATGTCAGTTAGTTGTCTCAGCCTTATCAGTTACATAAAGTTGTCAATATAATCTACGGAATGTTAGGTGTAGTGGAATATACTTGAAGTGAGGTTGGCTTTTATTCTTGAACTGTTAGGGGCCTCCTCATTTATATGGTCATGCAGCTTCATTGGCAACAAATAATGCAAATGACATAGTAAGAGCACAATAAAATTCTTCCGTAGATGAATTTTCTGTTGGAGAAATGTAAAGCCGAATTATAAATGTCACAATGCGAGTTTGAGCATTTTGTAACTATATTATATGGGTAAGTTACATAGATTTTTTAGGTTGCTGCTCAGTGCACTTTAAGAATATATATTTTAGAGATAAATTAAATGGTTTTTTTGCTGAGTAGCGCTAGTAAACATGCACAACTCTTTTCGTTAGTCTAATAACATTCAAAGGCTCTCTAAGAGTTCAAGTTCTTATTTTTACACATATCTATATTATGTTTTCACTAAGCTTAATGAATACATCGAAGTAAAGTAACCTCTCTGAAAAGTCTGCAGTATATTGCAGTTTTCCAGCTTAATTACTTTCTAAATATGCACATATTTCTATATAAATTTTGAAATATGTTTTATCCAGTTGCTGTAAACCACTATTAATTTAACAAAATATGGACACGGCTCAAATGGGCACCGTGCCCTTCTGCACTTGTATTATTTTGTATTGTATTACACAATCGAAGATTTTTCCAATGATTGAAAGCATGTATGACAATAATCTTATGATGAACTGTCTAAAATAATATGATAAAATATAGGGAAAAGGTGTGAAAAAGGCAGACACCAACCGGTAAAATAGATATAAGATAGTTCAATAAGATACAATTGTAGGAGTTATTGTGATAAAATGATTTTCCACTCATCTCGTAATGGAACTTTATATTGCAACACAAATGATACAGAGAAAAATCAATTTTAAAATCAGAAAATAACATTGCAAATACTTCTTTTGGGACAATTCAGTAACTCCCAATAAATGTGTGTTAATTAAAACACAATTTTAAAATTAACAGCTGTTTTATTAAAAAGTATTATCCACATGACCAAAATGTAAACAAATCTGTGGAGGGATCTTTAAAGGCTTCTGGGGCAGAGCCCTAAGCGAATTTACCTCGTTTTTCTTTTGATAACTCATCTACAGACCAAGGCCTTTCTTTGGACACCTCTACCAAGCTTCTACGCCCAGCCGTTCTCTCAAATTAATGGAGACAAAGTTTCCAATAAATATTTAGATTCCTCCATGTTAATCTTATGGGAGAAAACCCAACTTTGATGGAAGATCCTGACCAAACTAATAAAGATATCAAAAAACGAAAAACACTTTGCAAAACTACAGATCAGGGCAATTTTTTTGACACTTTAATCATCAAAATCGGTCCAAAAATGAGGGAGCAGTTCTGTTCACAAAAATCGGCTTAGCGTATTATATATATAGATTGTTGTGACTCAAACGGGTGGCCTGGTATCTATTTTTATTGAAATAACTCAAACTAAACTCTTTTATATAAATTGTTATGATCAACTATAAAAGTAAAATGTAAACATTGAAAACAATAATCATATGTCTTGACCTTATTTGAAATTAACTAAACCATATGTTGTCAAGATAGACTAAAGGATATGACAATACTCATTATAGTGTCTGCTCTAGTGATGGTTGAAACCAGAATTTTCGAATCTCAAAACTAAAACCGAAACTTTGATGGATTTTATAAAAAATTAAAAAAATGTGTTCAGTAATCAAATGTACATCTAACTTACAATATACCAGTGCACTTTTGTACAATTTTTTACTCAGTCACGAAAAAAACTATTATTAAAATTTTTAGAATTGGGAATCATTTTAACTTACTAAATTTATTACTATACAATAAAATCGATGGGTTGGTTGGGTGGTTGATTTTTCAGTTGAGTTGAGAATATGTCACACTGCTTGAATAATTCATATTTTCAAAGAATAACCGTACAGTCGCTTCCTTCAAAACAATTTGTATATACATATTTATCATATGTAAGCTATCATTTTTAACTTGTTTTAGATTTTACATTTGATACTGTGCCAACAATTAATTGCCTTAGAGATGTGAAAGACAATTCAATAGGAGCAGTTGAAAGAACTATATATAAATAATTAATACAACAAAAAAGCATTTAGTTGGCCTACCTTCTGTATTTTAATGAATAAATAATTTATTAGTAAAATAAACTGTTTAGTGTTTGGTCAAATTAACATTAATTATTAATAAAAAAAGTGAAGTAAAAGATATAGTAAAGTAGTCAAATAAGGGGTATGGATTTTACTTACAAAGAGAGAAAAAAAAACTTGCAAGTAATTTAAATTTGGACTACATGTGATATATTTTAAAATAATTTAACATTTTTAAAGGTGTAAATTTGTCATATAAGTAACAAAATATTGTTTAGGTCTAACTCTAACTTAAAACTAATTATACAATTTATATTTAAGTGGAATAATATTTTGTACCAAGCAATTTCTAAAATCAAGTTAAGACAAATAGGCTAATATTTAAATAATGTTGAGATTGTAGCACAACGGATTGAGTTATCAAATAATTAAATAACTTACGTCATCAATCCATAAATTGCTGTGGAGTACGTGTGTCAACCATCAGGTCATCCTCAGCTCCACTGTCACTAGGTTGAATTTGTTTCTATGTTGCTTTGTAGCAACAGCGTCGATATATTAAATAAATAGTCCAAACACATTTTACATTTATCACACATACACGACACGTACGAAACATTTAGATAACGAAATAATGTGATTATAACACCGTGCGCACGGCTGGACGGGCTCAGGTTTGCTCAGAGTGTAGCCGCAAACCTGAGCCCGTCCAGCCATGCGCACGGTGTTATAATCACATTATTTCGTTATCTAAATGTTTCGTACGTGTCGTGTATGTGTGATAAATGTAAAATGTGTTTGGACTATTTATTTAATATATCGACGCTGTTGCTACAAAGCAACATAGAAACAAATTCAACCTAGTGACAGTGGAGCTGAGGATGACCTGATGGTTGAAACGCGTACTCCACAGCAATTTATGGATTGATGACGTAAGTTATTTAATTATTTAATATTTAAATACCTCAGAAGTATAGTTTTAATTCTCAAAGTTGTCTACACATTTCAAACAGCTTGATTAAATTGTCGCACTAGGTATGTCAATCTCTTTCATAGAATCAAATGACCCTTTTGCAACCATAAACTGTTTTACAGCAGTAGTATAGTAGTACAGTAAAGTTAGCAAAAAACACGACCTAAACTTAACATCCAAAGTGAAATCTAACTTTTTACTCCTAAATGTTCAATATAATCCGTATTGTATCTGTATCGGGCGTTGAAGTAGAAAAATATGTAGTTTTTTGTTTTCATGAACCACCTGTCTCAAAACCTCCTTTGCAGTTTGGAGCAAAATACATATGTTATTTAAATAAATTATTTACGATTAATAATTTCAAACTCTGTATCCATTCCGGTTTTAACAAGATTAGATAGCCAATTTGTTTGCAATTTTGCACTTGACTTGGTTTTGGATAAAACAAAAAAAAAATCAAAACATGAAACTGAAAAAAAACACAAATTCTCTTGTAACCCCCTTTACCTCAAAACCCGAAGCTCAAAATGGTAACGTTTACCTTACAATACGGGGACTATATTGAACCTTTGGAGTCAAAAGTTAGCTTTCACTTAGAATTTTGAGGTTTAATATTTAGGTCTAATTGCAGTGCTACATACTATTATGTAAGAAGTTGTTATAATTTGCAAAAATTATGTATGAGCCAGTAAGTGAAAATCCACATATACATACAAAATGTAATAGCTATCATTAAATTATGTACAAGATAATGATATAATTTTAAATGGGATTGTGATTGTGTAATAACACCAGTAATAAATTGAGGAAGTGATAAATCTTTTATGTGCTTCTAACAAACTACGGCTGGAATCCCCCCCAAAGGTCTACAATAATAACCACAAAATTCCCCCCAAAAAATCTGCCGATGTTGCAGCTTGCGACATTAAACCCCCCTGTAGGCACCCCAGATGAGGTGCTTGGGAAAGACTGCTCATCCGCCTTTCTATTAAAAATATCAAAGTTTAGTAGAATACCTAAATAGTTGTTAAACTTGTTTTATGTTTTCTCTTTTACAGACAAATCAATAGAACATATATTGGACACTGTTTTGAAATCCAAATTCTTCATCAAGAAATACAGCGAGATTTGCTGCCCCATAATGGCGTAAGTTAAGATCAACAACTCACTTTAGCTCTTGTACAGTAGACTCCCTCTTATCCGGACTCCTTGGGACCGGGGCCAGTTCGGATAACGGGTTTTCCGGTTAAACCGACGTCCCAAAAAATTGTAAAACAGAAGAAGGCTTAAATGCGTACTGTATATAGTATTTGACTTAAATTTAGAAGAGCATTAAATTTAGACATGTGATCAGTGGTCTCAAGTCTTCCCCCCGAGAACAGTCGTTTTAGTACCACCCACTTCCTGCAGATCTAGTCCAGTTAAACGGATGTGCTGATAAAAATTGTTTGGTTAAAGAGATGTCATTTCCCCCGAGTGTAGTCCGGTTAAACCGATGTCCGGTTAAAAGGTGTCTGGATAAGAGGGTCTACTGTACCTATTAATATTTTCTAAAAGTATAATATTGCTGTGTTTTTTACCAAGGTTCACGGTTCAATAGTTATTCTTTTCAAAAAATTAAAATGGCCGTCATTTTAAACTTTTAAATTGCAAAATTTTGAATTTTTTTCATGTTGACACTGGTACTAAGATTCATGCAAAATATTGAAGTTGTAAGTATAACGGTTATTGAATAAATATTATTTAACGTTTAAAAATACAAAATGGCAACCCTGTGAGTAAATCATTGACTTGTAGACAGGTAAATATTTCAATTATTTCTAAACCGTGAAATAATACCTTAAGAGAGTTGCTAAACATCCTGTATAATGTGGATTAGCTGAGTAGCTAAATGGTTATAGTCTTTGTCTAACAAAAGTGGCAACCTATATGATCCTAAATAAAGAAAATCTTTGATGGTTTTAAACTGGACTCAGCAAACCTTGATTGTTGGGCCTCCAATAAATAGTCTTGGTTAAAGAAACAAATGGTCTTAAATAGTAAGAAGGCTACACAAGGCATCTGACTCCATTCTACCACTTAAATTTGTATTATTTTCTAGACAATTTCTACGGTTTTTCAGCTCTATATTAAAGAATGTATTTCTCTTCAGATTTAAATAATAAAGACTCCTGTTCAGTGTTCCATATGATTTTGTAGGAGGGTATTAAGAGAAAGACCAGGGAGGCTGTATGAAGCCTCATACATTCGCTACATCTTGTCTTTTAAGCTGTGGAAGAAGCTAGCAGGAAAGGATCATTATGCCACAATCAACAAAGAAGCTGTAACTAAGTTGACTCCTCCACCAGACTTTACTGAGAAACTAAAGACTGGTCTATTCTCCAACGTTCTCCCCTATGTCTCAAAATCGGAAAAAGACAGAATCACATTGTTTTTCATGCAATCGCCCTTCAATGTGAAGAAAAAAGCACAAGTAAGTCCATTTACAGGCTCATGTTAAACTGACATTATTTTCATAGTAATTTTGTGTGTGTCAAATTGTAAGTATTGCACTGCTCATACCCTTGTGTTGCTCCAAGTATTCCACAACCTGAGTACAGTAAGGTTGAATAACCATTTATAAATAACTAGCTGTTGCCTGTCGGCTTCGCCCGACATATTTTTGAGTTTTATTATGAACTGTCTGAAGTTGTGACTTCACTACAGGCTAACATGACCTTTTTGACACTTTTAAAAAGGTACTATTAACAACTAGTTGTTACCCACGAGCTTCACCCCTTTGACATCATAAAGTATTAATAAAACCAAAGATTACATATGCTACGCAATATGTAATCTTTGATACAACTATTGATTGGTTATGTTAAGCTGAAATAAACAAAACAGAATACTAATACAAACAAATAATCTCACCTGATTATAATAAGGTAATAAATTGAAAGAATAACATACAAATGAATACAGCTGAGGTACTTTTAGCATTAGGTGTATGGAAAATTTCCTTTGGAAAGCAATTACAACCTTAAAGGGCAATTTAAGAAAAAATTGATAATTTTGCGCAAGGTTTCTCGTAATGACGAACATTTTAAGAATATGGTTTATGGGTGTGTGACTTGTAGTTTTCTCGAAAGTTCATGGGTACTTTTGGCTTTATATATAGATAACGATATTGGTATGATCCAAGTGTCTGTTAGAGGGGTTGGGTGGTTTTCTGTATAGTCAATGGACTTTTGTAAATTGAATTTTTTATAACAATATGCTCCACAATCATATAAGAACACTTTTGGTATGATTCATCCTAATACAGACATGGGTTTTCTTGTGTTTCACAAATGATCAACATTTGGTATAAACTCAAACTGTTTATGCCATCTATTAAGAGAGTACAGCTAGGTAATTGGCATACTCAAGCCTTTTAATGTGTGGGTAAAATATTTGTTATAAGTTGAAAAGATCAAATTTTGTACTGTTCAGGTATTTCTAAAAGAGGAGAAAAAGATGCAACCAAACTTGGACTTAGAAAGAAGCCTACTCTTTGATGATGACCTGCAAATAAGCTTCTTAGACGATGACAACGATGTGAGTTTAGTTTTAAATGTTTCTATCAATGATCAAACATAAATTACTACCATATTTTTTTCAACAGGCTCAGCGAGCTAATCTTATTACTAGGGATGGACAAGATTGGATTTTTAGTTCGAGACGAGACGAGACGAGATTTTTTATTTCTCATATGATTTCGAGACGAGATTGAGACGGGATTTCCCTTCTCATACACAACGGGAAATGCATGTTCGGAATTTTTACCTGATTTTGAAACATTGTTAGATGACTGTTTAAATACAAAAATAATGATAATAGGCAAGAATATTTACAATCTTTTATTAAAAAACATCAGCATAACATTTTTTTATTAATCACGTCTAACTTATTAAAAATGCCTACGATTAGGAAACATAGTGATATCAGTTAGGATAGAGTTCAACTTATCCTAAAATAAAATAAATCATAAAATAAAATATTAATTTTTATAAAATAGTTACTTGTTTTGACTTTTTTTATAGTAATAAAACATTCCTCACACTGCTAACACTTAACAAAAAACTCTTCAAATGTTATTAAAATAATTAAAGTAATATTTACGTTTGAAGAATTAATTAAATAAGAACGCCTTCGCAAAGTAAACGCAACTACAACACGCTCCTGTATTGCAGGTATTGCATTGACTTTCTGCAGGCGTTTTTTTTTTTATTTATTTATTTTTTTTTTCTCGTCTCGATAAAAATCTCGCCCAAAAAGAAATCTCGTCTCGTGTAACGAGATTTAAAAATTCCCGAAAATTTCCCGAAATTTCGAGACTTGACCATCCCTACTTATTACACTCAACTCCCCTTAAGGAAAGTGTTTCTTGTTGCTACGGTCCCCTTTTGATGTTGTGTTATATTGTGTAGGTGGATCGGCTTTGGGATTTTTTTGTTGAAATATTAACCACACAGTAACAGTTTATGTAGTTTAATGTAGCAAATAAATGTCAATTATTATTTGTACAACTTTCCTATTTGGAGTTAAACTAAGTTAGTCACTACGGTTTGCTAAATACAAGCTGTTATTTAGTAGGGGTGTGCGATGCAGCATATTTTTTTCGATTCGATGCATCGATGCGATTCAAAGAATTTCGGTTCGAATCGATGCGATTCGATTCGATGCAGCACTGCATGATTTTCTTCAAAAATTAAATACAACATGTGTTTCTGTAACTGATCCTTTACCTTAAAAAAAGTTTAAGTAAAAAATGTACTAAATAAAATTATGAACAAGAGGATAGTTGCTGACCTAACCTCATTAGTGGACACTGCTAATTTTATGGTTGGCCTAAGGAAATTTACCCTTCACTAACAATTAGAATAAGCCTATATATCAATAAAGCAATCGTTAAGTTTATTATTATTGACCTGTATTAAATAAAATAGAGTTTATTTTATGACGTGCGGTAGTATTGTTACTTAGTTTTCACATTTATATTTGTTGGCTTTCAATACTTCTGGTTCATTCTTAAATCAGCACGAACCAAAAAAGTTGATAATCAGTGTTTCCTGTCTATTTTAGTGATGGTCGGATCCGGATATCGGACTACCGGATCCGCCGGATCTGGGCTAGACCGACGCCCGATCGTATCCACAAAAAATTGGATCTTGGCAAGACCCCACTACACTACTTGTGTAGTGGGGTCTTGATCTTGGGCTGGATCCGGTTTTAATGGATCCAATTTTATTTATACTATTATCACAAAATGGGCGAGTATTCGAGATTTTGAGTTCGAGTTAAGTACGGCCTTGAAACTCGAGCTTATCTTTGAACTCGCTAGTTTGGTATAAAATTGTAAAAGATCAATATTTGTTGAAATGTAACTTGTGTTTACATAAAATGATGGATAATTTGTATTACTGTAGATTCTACAGTCATACAAATATAGAAATAAGCAAGAGGTAGTTGTCCTAACCTATTTTTATAGCTGTCACGACAGAATAGGTCAACTCAAAGCAGTCGCCGGCGACTGACTGGCAATCAAGTGGCAATGGCAATGGTATACTGACTTGACACAGAATAGAATGACATGATCGGTAGTGATTTTGTTTTAAAGTAGGCCTACTGTTTCACAATAGAAAATTTCACTACTGAACTGTTACGTAAGCAATAAATTTATGTTTATAAAAGTCAGAATAGAAACACTATAAAGGCAAAACAAAACAATAGAAGGGAGGCAGGCGTTGTGCAATGACCTCGAAATGAGCGGAATAGTAACATTGAGTAGGGGGTTGGAAGGGGGGGAAGGGAAGGGACCTTTGAGCTATATTTAGATTAGACTAGACTTTCACCACTTTGCAAATGGCTGGGTATGGGGATTACAATAGCAGGTTTTTTCCTTGCCTGGTTTGACTTTTGTTTTTTTGTGTAGGAGATTTGAATAATCAAAAATATAATTTGAATTGACCACAATTATTTAGCATTGATAATACAATTTGCAAGGGACCAAGAGGAAATAGAACAAAACACTAAAATTAATAGAATAACACACAAAGTAAACAACAAATTAAATACAGAACATGGTGACTTAACACTGTCACTGTCACTCAATTTTGTTGTCTAGAAGGGTCGGTGAACTAATAAATAAATAGCCAAAACCAGTTTCCTCCCCCTCTAACCACCACCCCTCCCCCCCTAAGCCGGGACGCCCAACACTTTGTCCTTGAAACACCCTAGACAATAGACAATAGACAATATTTCTTTATTTACATAATTCATAGAGAATAGTAATGCGTCAACAAATTTTTGATGGTTAACTTAAAACTATTTACAACATTGTAGAGTTGAGGGGAAGATCCATTGGTGCTGTTTTTTTTAGGAATTCGGCTTCTGTGTAAAATGGTCTGTCCTGTAGCCATGATGTCAATTTGTTCTTGAAGTGTGGCAGTGGTAGTGTCTTGAGCTGCTCAGGTAGATGATTGTAATACAAAGCTCCTTTGTACGCTGGTTTCCTTTCAAATAGGCTGAGATGATGTGGTGGCAAGGCAAAGTTTGAGGCATGCCTTGTGTTGAACTGATGTATGTCCTGGTGTCTTGTTTGTTGTGAGCTTATTGCGTGCAGGATTGTTTCACGTATGTATAGTGATATTACAGTGAGGATTTTGAATTGTTTGAAGTGTTCTCGGCAGCTTTCCTGATAGTGAATGCCTGCCAGGCATCTGATCGCTCTTTTCTGTTGTTTGAGGACCCTTTCTATGTTTGTGTTCGCTGTTCCTCCCCATGTAGTTATGGCATACCTCAGGTGTGATTCAAAAAGGGCAAAGTAAGCTACTTTAGCCACATCCAGGCCACTTATTTGCTTCATTCTGCGAATCACGTAGATACCTGAAGAAAGCTTCATGCAAAGTTGGTCTACATGTGGTTTCCAAGTTAGTTTTGAATCAATCATAACACCTAGGTGCTTCGTTGTTTCTTTTAATTCTACTTGAGGCAGTGGTATTAGTTGTGTATTCTTGTTTTTGGTCACAAAAGCCATTTGTACGGTTTTTGTTTCATTCAGGACTAGATCATTTTCTGAGCAGTATTGTTTAGTTTGGTTGAAATAGGTGGTTGTGTTTCTTTCTAGCATTACTGCTTGTTTATCAGTAATTGTGAGGACTGTATCGTCTGCATACATGACTGTATGACAGTCGCTTTGAAGCCAGTCTGGCAAGTCATTTGTGTGAAGGAGGAATAATACTGGGCCGAGCACAGAGCCTTGAGGCACCCCTCTTATTACATTAGCAGTTTTTGAGTGGACTTTTTGAGTGGTGTTGTTGTTGGTGTAGTTGATCTCAACTAGTTGTTTTCTATCTTTTAGATAGCTTTCAAACCAATTCGCTTCTTTTCCTGTTATGCCCAAGGTTTTTAGTTTTTGGAGTAGCTGGGCATGGTTTAGGCAGTCAAACGCCTTGCTGAAGTCTAAAAATAGACTAGTGACCATGCAGCCCTCTTCCAGCTTGTCTATTATATGTTCTATAAGTTGTATCAGGGCTGTTGCTGTTGATCTCTCTTTCAAAAATCCATGCTGTTGGTTTGTAAGAAGGTTGTGGTGTTCAAGGTAGGTCAGTAGTCTCTGGAGAACAATTTTTTCTATTATTTTTGAGAATGTGGGAATGAGTGAGATTGGTCTGTAGCTTCCAGTGTCAGTTTCTGGTCCTTTTTTATACTTCGGATATATTTTAGCTGTCTTTAATTTTGTTGGGAAAACTCCTTGGTTCAGGGACTTGTTGATTATGTTTGTGAGCGGGCCGGTAAGTGCTTCTTTACATTTTTTTGTAATTTTTGCTGATATTTCATCGATGCCTGAGGAAGTTTTTGGTTTTAAGGAGTCTATAGCTTTCATTACTTCTGCATGTGTTGTTGGGTGAAACTGTAGGTTGTGGTCTGTTATGGGTGGTATGACTTGGGGGATGCTGTTTGGGTTTGTGTTGTTGGCTTGGAGTGTCCTGTCTGCTACTGTGGCAAAGAAAGTGTTAAAGTGGTTTGCTACTTCATGAGGGTCACTTATTTGTTCTCCATTTATCTGAAGCATTAGCTGGTTTTCTGTACTTCTTTCTGCTTTTCTTTCATTGTTTATTACCTGCCACAGAGCTTTTGATTTATTTTGTGCTTGGTTGATGTGTGCTGCAGTGTTTTCTTTCTTGAGGGTTTTCAGTCTTAGGTCATATTCTTTTTTCTTGGCTGCTGTCTCTGCTTTGTCTTCCGCTCGCCCTGTACGTTGTTCTTTTTCCAAGGCATTAATGTAGTTGTTTTTGAGCCTCGTGCATTCATTGTCCCAATACTGCCTTTTTTTGTGCTGTCGCCTTCTTACAGTTCTAAGGGGGCAGGTTTCATTGAGAGCTGTTTGTATGGTGTTGTGGAAATTGTTGTAGGCTTGATTTACATCTTCTGTCAGCAGAACGTTATTCCAATTCTGTGTTAGCAGGTTTTCTTTGAGAAGTGTCATCCCTCTTTTGGTGTATATTCTCTTTTTTTCATTTGTTGTGCTATGGCTAGGCTTGGGCATGTTAATTGTAGCAAACTGTGCTGAGTGGTCAGAGAGTCCTGACATGACAACAGAAGTTTGTATTAGCTCTGAGTTTATATTTGTACAGATCCAGTCTATTGATGTTGAGGAATCTTTTGAGACTCTTGTGGGTGGTAGTATCATCCTGACTATGCCATAGCTGGTTAGAAGCTCCTCTAGTTTTGCATCATCATTATTTTCTGTAAGGTTGTCTACATTTATGTCTCCCATGAGAACTGTTTGTTTGTGTGTATGTAGAGTGTCGTCTAATTGTTCTGTTAGGATGTTAATTGCTTCTTCTAATTTTGCGCTGGGTGGTCTGTAGACTCCTAATACTTGGACTATTTGCTTTCTGAGTTTAATTTCAAAGAGTGCTGTTTCACATTTGAGCTCGGATTCATCTTTACTGGTTCTGATTAGCTTGATATCTTTCTCTAGGCCGTTTTTTACATATCCTACGACTCCTCCTTTTATATGTTCCTTCCTTGAGAAGCCGCCTAGCAGTGAGTAGCCTTCAATGCAGGTTTTTTTAAGGTTGTCTTGAGGTAGGCCATGCTCCGTTACTATTAAAAGGTCTGGTCTTTCGTCATCTAGGAAGTGGCTCAGTCTGTCTACTTTGTTTGCCAGCCAGTTTGCCTAGCCTCTGAAACAATAAACCCTTCACCTGCGTTGCTGTTTTGACAACAGGTTTATGAATGCGTTCACTATTTTTCATTTTCCAGAATTAACTATCAATTATTGAATTATTTTATTATTATTATTTGCAAGTTACAAATAGGAAACTACATGACATTATTCAATGACCCATGTATTATCAAAAATTTATAATTGATTACTTATTTTGATAATAAAAAGCATTCATTACAGCACGCAGCACTTATTGATATATATATGTATATATGTATATATAATCATCAAAGTATCTGTTACTTTATACAAAATAAAATAGGTACAAAATTGTGTGGCCAGTCAAACTTTATAAACAAACATTTTATTCTATAAAATACTGATGTTATAAGGGGTTGGTTTAAAGGAAATAAAATACAAAACAGATTAAAATTATTTTGATAAACGATAGAAAGGTTATGGGATTGATTGAAGTAAAATAACCACAGGGAATCTTAAGTACAAAAGTCGTCAACCACAATTTGTTTAATCAGTACGTTAGAGAGAGAGGGGGGGAGAGAGAGATAGCAGATAGGGGCGTTTGATAGGGAATCTGAAGAAGTAAACAAACAAGGAACAACAACGCGACAATACTCGTTTATAACCTTATTGTCAAATCTAGGTATTTGTAAGACAAAAGAAAATCACACCGTTTTAAACTTTAACCTAATTTTATACTCTTTACAAACAAACACGTCCTACATAACGGTTCTTGATATTTATCAATGTATCTTAGCAATCGTCACTTGCTCCATTGAAACACGAACGGAACGTCGATTGGCTGACATGACAGTGCAGTGTGGCCTCTCGACCAATAAGAACTCTTGTTACATACTTTGATTTATCTTAGATGGTCAACATTTACCATTCATTATAATATTACAAAATCAACATGGACTATGCGTATGGTGTTTTTCAATCAAAACTTATGTTATAGTAGCACTTAAAACTTCACTTAAACCCTTAAACTAGGTAGATAGTACAGATATAATATGGATCTACTTTTTGGTGCAATAGGCAAGTGCAAGCCTAACCCTCTGACTTCGATGTTGTAATTGAATCAAATTTTTCTAATGATGCGTAATGCAGGGATGAAACTGAACATTTAGACAAGTTTAGGTTATTTATTTTGTTCTAAAAATAAAAATAATACATGAAAAGGTCTGACTTATTGGTACAGACATTTTTAGTATAATTTCGTGTTGAGGACACTCGCGCGCCGGTTGTCTGAGACTGAATTCTGACTGTCTGACATCTTGAAATGTAGATTGTATTGTGTTGTGCAATATCATCTGCCTGCAGAGAGAACAGCTGAAAATAAACTTTAGCTGTTTTGAACTAAATAGTGTGCTAAGTTGGTTACTAAAGTTGTTAGCGTGATTACAAAACTAATATATATCAAATAAATAAATGTTGAAATAAAATATCTATCCATCCCTGTCGGCTGTCGGTATCGGCGGAATCGGGCGAAATCGATGTTTGGCAATCGATTCTTGATACCGATATTCCTAGTATCGGAAAATGTCCGAGTATCGGTGGTAGGTGGTAGCGATAATTGACATTTCCCTATCTAAAACTCATTTTGGAGTCCTAAATTAGTTTTAAATATGCATCGGGACGTAATCGTTGCACCGGGAGTTAACCGATGCATCGGTCTTTTTCGATGCATCGAGACCAAATCGATGCATCGTGATTTCGATGCATGCTGCATCGAATCGAATCGAAATTTCGATGCATTTTCGATGCATCGCACACCCCTATTATTTAGTAAAAAACACTGGTGGAATGGTGATAGTATAAGCGTCATAAGTCACTACGCACACGCATGGAGTCTCAAGTCTCAAAATAGCGTCGGCGTAGTCTATTCTCCCCGCACATGTACAACTGAACTCACTCCCTCAGCATTCTCTGTCTGACTGCCTTACACTACCGTACCCGAAACGAGTATCCTACACGACATGCACACCATGGTGGTGTTTTTTGGATATTTTGTACTTTTACCGACGCTCTGTCAAATGGCGCGCCTGACGTTCATTTCTACAAATAGTTATTGATTTTTTACTGAAGAATTCTTGCTGTGACGTCCAATTTACCTCCGTTCTTGAATTTATGTTAGTCCATTGATTTATTTATATATACTAGTGGTCATCCAGTGGTCGAAAACTCGACCAGAAACATGTAATGTGGGCCTACACATATTGACTATTGGATACTGAAGTATCCCATCTACTGTCCATTTTCTACTGACCAACTGTCGCCATTTTTTAAAATTAAAAACATGTAGTTGTGAGAGCCAGTTACCGAATGCGTGTCCTAAATTCTATTTTGTACCTTATTTTTTGTTGCTGACAAAGTTGATGGGTCGTAACAGTTGCTATATATCATAATAAGTCATTCTATAAGTTTGACTTGGTAAAAAACATTGTGTATTTGACAGAAATTAGTCATTTAGATCAGCGCAATCTGTTGGTAGCTCACATCAACTACGACGAGTTTAAAGAAAAAAAACTGGTGACAACTTTAACATGGGGATGGAATGTAAAGGTACCGGCTCCTCTATTTTCACCCTACGTTGTAATTAAAACATGTGATTTTCCAAAATAAACTTAACACACACTTTTTTAAAAAAAGTTCTATATTTCGGCATTAGCCTTCCTCAGGAACAAACAAACAATAACATGTTATAACTTGTAATAATTTGTTATTGTTTGTTTGTTCCTGAAGAAGGCTAATGCCGAAATATAGAACTTTTTATAAAAAGTGTGTGTTAAGTTTATTTTGGAAAATGATATAGCCGTTTGGCAATATTATGAAGAAACAATGTTAAAACATGTGATTGTAATTTCTTCCATTTGTTTTGATTTTCTGTTTATATCTCGTTATTATTTTGTCACCGTCATAAAGCCATAAAGCCCATATTATTTTTTTTTATTTCAAATCCATTTTTTGTGCTTATATTTGAGCCTATTTTAATTTTTGAAGGGATTCTGCACTTCTAGAGGAAAATATCTTTCCACCAGTTTGCGTAGATTTTCCCTGCGATGCACACAAGCTGAGAAAAAAGGTTTTAATGAAACATGCTTGCCTATTAATATATAGATAGATATTATTTAATTTAAAGATTTGAACCATCACATTGTTTTAAAATAAAACTAAATCTTTAGATAAAGAATTCCATTTTATGAACTACAAGTGAGTTTGTTTACAAAAACAATATAATAACAATTAACAACCATATGACTTTATAGTCATATGTCATCTCCCTTTTTCAATTATAAGTCAAGTCTTTTGGGAGGATTTACTCTTCATGATGACTTTCTACTATCTACGTCTTTAACTCCATTTCCAGCTTTACTTCCTTTCACTTTACTTGCTCCTGCCGGTTCTTCAACGTCATAAAATCGTTTCTTCATAAACCAAGAGTTCCTTCGATAAATATTCCCATCTGGAGTTTCTATAAGGCATGATCTTGGCTCCGGACCTTTTCTTAAGACTGTAGCTGGCTGCCAGTCTCTGTGTTCTATTCTATACAGTACTTTTTTTCCTTCTTCAAATTCTAAGTTGTTCTTTTTTGTTCTGTTACTGTATTGTCTGGATTTTTCCCGAATATTTTTCAATTCATTGTGAACATTTTGAATTATTTTAGGTTGCAGAATTTTATCTGTGCTAGGGAGCAGTGTCCTTGTTCTGCGCCCCATTAATCTTTGAGCTGGAGATCCAAGATTTTTCCGGGATATATTTCTTTTATGAAGTAGGGCGAGATAAACATCCGTCTTTTCTTCTAGATATTTCTAACAAGTGTTTAAACAACTCAACAAGATGTAACTAGAATTATTCGGAATATTGTTTTCCTCGGAGTTATGTTTCATACTATCTCTAGTAGATAGATATTACAATAACATTAAATTATTTCATTTTATTCGTACAAAGCTAACATTTTATCCCTTTTCTGTTACAGGATTTAAACGAGCAGCCAGATGATGATCTAATGAATGATATGTGGAACAATCTGGTTGATAATGAAGAAGACTGTTTTGATTCCTTACTAATTCCTATGGATATTATCGAAACAAAAGAAGACGAGGATATTATTGTCGATTTAAAGAGGACCAAAGGAAATGAAAAACCTAAGAAGACTCTAAAAGATAGACCTACTAATGGTGTATTGAAAACTTCATTAAAGAAGCGTAAAGTTACAAAACCAAACAATAATACCCTTATGAAAAATTTTTCTGGCAAGGATGCAGTTATGGATTTTATTAGAAATGATTTAACAATTCCCATAACTTCTGTATCTACAAAAGAAGATAATCCAATTGTTTCGTGTGTAAAATCTGAAGATTCTTTGGTGTCTTTTATCAACAGTCCTGAAATGAAGCAACCCAAACCCTGTGCCACAGTAGAACCAGAACAATGTCGAGAAATAACTGACAGCGTAAAAAATTTCACAGAAGTTAGCCCAGTAAGAGCACCCCGAAACCCCACCATCTCAATGGCAGAGCCTAGCGGGCAAGAACCCACTGTGACAAAAGCAGGGGAAGAAAGTTGTGAAACTGATGATAAAGTAGAATATATTGAAGCTATACCATCTACAACAGTCAGTTCAAATCTAGAAGATACCACAATTGTTGAAAACTTTGTTGCTGAAGAAGTCGTAATTGGATCAGACATTGAACAAGATTCGGGATGTTCTTTTCTGTTTCTTGACACAGACAGTAAAATGGTACAAAATGACATTTTAAGTGTGATTGGCATTACTAAAGGTTCTACATCTTTTTGTAATGCTGAAATTGTAGTGAATGAAGAATCAATAATGAAAGACGATCGTCGACAAATAGTTATTGACAGCACTGTTCTTAATGACTCCAATGTTATCAAAACTAAAGAAAATGTATCTGGGTCCCCTGATAATCAGTTTTTATATTCCATTACACCGTCAACCGAAAGTTATGTACCTTTCTCACGAAGACAGGACAGCTATGCCTGCAATGATATGTTCCTTCAAAGATTATTATCTGATCCAACCCCAGTTGACGATGGATCGGATGATGATAGTCGATATCAAGATCGCAGGAGGTTTGCTGGTGGCGGTAAACTACCAGCTTTCCGTGAGCAAACGGAAGAGTCAAAATCAGAGAACGACGAAGATTTTGATGCATTGACTCCCTCAAGTGATTCTTTGCAACAAAGTCCTCTGGACACCTCATTAGAGTCGACAAGGCTACAGCAAGAAGCCTTGGAATCTACCCCACCCAGCCCTCGGGATGTAGACCCTCATCCTCAAGACAAGAAGGAAAAAACGTTAAACCAAGAGGATCCAAAACTCAGTCAGATGAAGGAGCTAACTATTCCTTTATCAAGAGGAGAAGTGTTAACTGCACATGATCAAGTTTGTGATGTTTCCGAAGATAAAATTCGTCCTCCAGGTATGTTAATTATCTTTGATGAGAAATCACACAACACTACAGATAAAGAATATCAAAATTATATAAAGCACCAAGTGAACCAGGAAACCTTTTATAAAAAAGCTGAAAATATATTAGAAACAAACCCTGTTCCGGACCCTCTGAAGGATCTATGCATTGAATGTTACCCAGACTACTCAGATAGATGTCATTGTAGGTCTTGTGAGAGATTGCTTCGTAAGATAAAAAGGAACCATAAGAAAATTGTTAAATTGCGAAAAGAAAGAATAGTTGAGTGTGTGGACAAAAAAAACAAAATAAACATAGGCCTAACAGATATTAAAGACATGGTTTCTAAGATTTTGTATTGTAATGACCGAGATGAAAGTATGTTAAAATCTATTGGAGATACTTTGCCATCCTCTGAGAGTCTTAATTTAGAAGATAAAATTGGAACAACAATTAAAAGAAAAAAGGACAAGGATGAAAGTAATCAACTTCAAATAACTGTTCCAACGATTGACAAACCAGAATCTGTTAAATGTTCTGAAAAGAAAAAGGAGTATGCAAGTCTCCCTCCTAAAAAAAGGAAAGCTTTTACAATTGAAAAATACTCCAACACAGAACAGGCCTGTCAAAATGACAAATTTGATTGTTCAAGCAAAAGTACTGAGTCAAAAAGTTGTAAAGAGAAACTTGAAACCGGTTTTGCTAATTCTCTCTTGATGACTGACATCACAAAATCTTCCAGCCCTAGTGCTATTGTAGGTTATAACAGGTTTTCACCAGTTAAAATCAAGGCAATAGATGGTAGATATTGTGTACTTAGTGAGTTCCCTTCAGAGTATGGTGAGTCGGTAGTAGAATCAGACTTACCGAGTGAACACATTCCTAAAAGTCAAAGAAAGTGTAGTAGGAAGAAACGAAAACATGAAAGGAAAGAAAAGAAAAGGTTAAAAAAATTAAAGAAACTGGAGGAAGGCTTACATAATTAGTATTTATTTACTAGTTCCAAACAGTTACATTTGTTACCTGATAACCATTAAGTCTTATTTAACGTTTGTTTAGATAGTTTTTTATTTCTTTAAAAATAAGACTGAAATAGCAGATGCATCATAAGATTAATCATTTTTTAAACTTACAATACGTAATTGTTGACTGACTAAAATTAAGGTGTTGATTTGATTCTAGCTGCAATTTCTAATCATGTGCCTTCCTATTAGCAGCTTGTAAATGGTTGAACTTATGTTATTAAGAAATGTTGAAATTAAAATGCTTGCACTTCAAGAGGAATGAAAAACAAAGTCAAAGTGGTGATAACAAGTTACCATGAACATGGGAGTCTGAAGTAGGGGTCAAATTGTGCACTATGTACAGTATTTCAAAAGCTGCAACTTACCTTCAACTTCCCTTTTCATCCAAAATTACAAAACAAATTTAAAAAAAATTATTTTAAAATTATAAATGGTAATATTTTTCTTGAATTGAAAAGTCTACATACTTAAAGTTTTAAAGGACGAATAATTTTGATTCAACACAATTAAAAAAAACTACTTAGTAGCATTAACTTTTCAAATACGCCTCTTTAAAAGCTAGTCAGTTGTGTAACTTTAACTTTTTAAACATCCAAAGATATACTAATGTATTTAACATAATAAAACACAAGATGTTGAAATATGGTGTGAAAATGTCATAATGCAGCCCAATACACCAAGGAGGTCATCAGGAAGTCATCATATGCAAGAAAACTGGATAAATTGTTGGATTCAATTTGAAAGAAATTGAAGACTATGATCATTGAACATGAATGAAACCCCCCTGTTTGAGAGGATTCATTACTTACTTTTTCTTTTGACACATCTTAATTATAACTGGCAACTATATGCTTATTATTATTCATTATTCATTAATTATTAATTATTATTCATGGTTTGCGGTGTGATATGGTTTTCAATACATAGGCTTTCTCAGTTGTTGGACACACAAGAGGATTCACAAAGGATAATACTGTTTATTTAAAACTAATTATTTTAGCACCATTTCAATAGGAAACTCTAAACATGTTGAACAAGGCATGACATTTTCTTATATATCGATCATTATTAAACATTGAACCAAACTTTCCAAAGCTCAACACTATGCTAATAATTTTGAACGATCTTAAAATTTGTCATAACTATAACTATGCCTTCACCAGATATTTTTGTTTTTGAATATAATAAAAATTCATAAAAATGGTTTTTGGTCAAAAAGCTCAAAAACACAAAACTCCTCAAATAATTGGCAACTTAGAAAATTACAATTTTTAAAACTTTGGCTGTATAATCAATTTACACTTAAAAATGAATCCAAGACAACTCGCCGAAGACAACATAAGAGATCTCCACGTCCTTCTGACAATCTTCTCTGTATGAGTTATAAATTCATGATGTGTGGTGGCTTTCAATGAAGAACTACAAGAAGAGGAGCTATTTAAGTATTGAATTTGTAGAATGAAGCATAAGTTGAATTACCCAGTTTAAATACTCGTAATTCTAAATGTAATTGTTATATAAAGAAAGTCACGTTTTAGTTTGTTATTATTAATTTATACATTTTGAGAGTTGTGATAACATTGCCTTATACTGAAAATTGATATAATTGCTCAAGAACTTATTGTTTTCAATGCTAAAGTCTAATAAAGTTAATCTCTAAGTAACACTGTTAAAGAAAAGCCAAATTTTATTTTAAAAATAATATGTTAGAGAACTCACTGCGGATATCTCATAAAGGTAAATATTGCAGCATATTTTCACTTCAGATTTTTTTATAGTCATGTAAGTTTATAAAAATAACAGACACATTAAATTTATTGATGTTTGTACACTTTTTTGTTTTTAGAACAACTTTACACTTTTGACTTTTACTATTTTTTCAAACATTCAGTTTTTATTTATTGGTTACTAATCCTCTTTCATTGATTCATTTTTTAAACTTGAAAACAATAAATGACAAAGCGTTAGAAAAGCAACTCTTATCAACTTTTACATATTTGTTTTGAATCGGTTTGCCAATTACGAATTGTGAATTTATTAGGCTTGTGTAGCCTATCTGTTCAATTCTGTTAATTATAACCCTTATTTTACAAAAGTTCACTTATTACAATATGTCTTAAGGGTCAGAGTTTTTTGTTTTATTTAAATTCATATTATTCTCTTTCAGGCAAACGCAGCTCCAGTCGATATTCCTCCAGTCGTCATGGGAAGAAGAAAGTAGCAACTACTACCATTGAAGAGTTGCCTGGTTCAGATGATGAGCCTTTATTTAACCTGGAAAGGCAAACCACCCATGAGGACAAATCAGATGACGATGAAATTAAAACAACAAGACGGAGCAAAACCAAAACTGTGTCATCTTCCAGTAAGTTTCTTACAATACATTTTCTTGAATCTTAATTCTACTTGCATTCGTCATGACTTTAGGTTTTGTAAATGCTTTTTATTGTACCAGTAGGGAAAAATTTTTAACAGGATTTTTAGGCAACCTGGAAACCAGGAAAACTAGGAATTGTACTTGAATTTTAATAACCAAGAAAAAATCCTTGAGTTTTGCATACAAACGGGAAACTACATATTTTAAATAATTGTCATAAAATTGGTCAAATTAAAAACTTTTATAAAAGAAACCCCACCCTTTTGAAAATATTTTTAACAGTTGAGGTTATAATAGTTTCTTTACTTATTCTATGGGCGCATGGGGAATTGAAACTGTACAAAGTTTACAAAAATACGCCTGCGCAGCAAATCTGCAGACTAAGCGAAATTCAATTAGCCTGATTGGATTTACACTAAAATGCCTGCTTAAAAATATCACATTTATTCCCTATTTAAATAGAATTAGTTTAACGAGTACTTAGGTTTGCTGCAACAGGGAGGGTAAAAAAGTGTTTTTTGTAAAATGTTAGTTTAGTAAGAAATGGATGTAGTTTCCAAATACGATCAAAATAGGTTCATAAACAAGCAAACTACAACAGTTTTCATTTTCTCTTTAAGAATAACATTGGGATTTTAAATTTACAATTTTTGGAATTTTCTCTGTAACCATTAGGCGCACAATAATACTTCAATGTACAAAAAAATTATTTGTTTTTTAAGCTCTACAAAATGGTTTGGAAAGAAATTGTGAAATTTTGTGTTTTTAGGGTCAAAAATGGGAAAACCCTATTTTTACCCCATAAAACCACCCATAAACCCCCGTTCCCATAGACCGATCATGCTGGTTCGCGAACTCGTTCGAATGAATGTAAGAACCAAATTTCATCAAAATTGGATCCTTTTTGCTCGAGTTATTGTGCTACCGGACACATATATAGCCTAAATATATATGAATTTGAACGGATGGTGTTTTTGGCCTCTAGGGACCTCAAAACGAAAAAGTAAATCGGTCCCGGGTCCAGGTCTTACCATGAGTACTACGGTACAGGGCGTCTACCAACCGGGAAGTCCGGGGAAAACCGGGAATTGTACTTAATTTTTTACTGGCCATGAAATGTACGAATTGTCCTTAAATGCCAGACTATGTCCTTAAATTTTTAATGGGCCATAATTTTATTGATCGCTAGTTGGTTAGGAGCACATAAAAGGTTTATCAGATGTTTGTTTACATTTTCATAATTTATTACTAGAGTAATTATGCAATAAAAATCCCATTAGCAATCTCAAACCCATTAATATTTTATCACGACAATCAAGTGTCAAGTCAAGTACTTCCAAGAACTGTTGACTCAGTTCTAGCTAGCTCATAAAAGTTGTATCACTTTTATTCCTTTACAACTTCTTTTTTTATTACTAGGGCTTATTATGAGATTATATTATGAGGAATTACTATGATATCCCAAACCTATTTTATCGTGAAAATAATAGCTTTATAATGGCTGTTAAATTTCACTTCTTACTTGTACTTTCGGCTTGAAGATTCAATTTGCCGCGGCCATTGCCTAGTGCCATAAAACTGTTTATGGTTTCATATTAAACATGTAAATAATCTACAGTCTTATTTTGTTAAGTTAAGTTAACCCTTTTTTATGGATATTTTATCTTTCAATTGACAAAACCACAAGCATTGTTGTTTGCATTAATGTTTTATCACTATGTAGGCCTGCTTGGTTTCAAATTATGTCATTGCATTTTCTGTATCTTTGTCTTATATTGTTGGCTGTTCAGGTTTCAATGTATTTTGTTTCCCATATTTATTTATTGAGTTGTATGCTTTAAGCAATCTAAATCTTATGAACTAGAATGATGATAGTGACTTTGCTGCTATTATAACCTCATTGTTTGTTACTCAGTTTATATAGGCCCTCCTAAATAATTAGGTCTAGGCCTGGGTATTTTGATTCTTGGAAGAGCTGTAAAATATATTAAGAAAATGTAATTGAGCCTAGATAAACAACTAATGATTGCTATGTGTCGATATTAACTTTGCAAATGAAAATACAATAGGTAATCTTACTCTGTGCTTATTGCTTATTGGTAGCCACTTACCATACCTTGATTTTGTACTAAGAACTGAGTAACAATGTGTATTAGGGATTTTTTTCAAAAGTAGTCGAGAGCCTAACGTTGTGCCAGGGCGAATCATGCCAAATTAATCCGCCTGGATCGGATAAGCTATGTTATGAAGTTTACGTGACCGATGGAGATATTTGTCGCTATCACAGGAGACAATGATTGCGTTTCTCTGTTACACTATAAAAGCTTTACCTAATACACCTAATAGTATTAATACCTAATACACTTCTTCCCTAATAGTATAGGTAAGCCTATGCTTGTTTACTTTCAATAAATTTCTATTTTGAAATTTTTAACTCTTATCTATTATTATTTACTTTTCTCTCTGGTACAACTACAGTTAATAACAAGATTAATACAGTTTGAAAAATCAGGAAAATTATTCGGTAGGCCTAATGACACCGACAAAGGTTACAGCAAAGTGTCCTTAAATGTACGGGAATTGTCCATGACTTTTTTATCCAGAATGTAGTAGACACCCTGTAATAGCTTATTCCCTATGAGAAATTATTCCCTACTTGGGAAATTCGCTAAAAAGAAGTTAAAAATATTTCTTGTGACCAAAGCGCTTTACAGTTTTGAGGGATTTTTCTTGGCAAAATAAATTCAACTAAACCTTATTGAAAAAAATTACCTAGTTACTTGAATAAAGGTTGTTGTGCTTTATTTTTATTCCTTGCAACCTTCATAACTCCATTATGATCCTCTGCATCCTCGGATCCAGATTTTGCTTGTTAAATTGCATCCTGCTGTTCTTCAATGGCGACAGATTGCGGAATACTTATTATGGTTTCTAACCTAAGATCTTTCTGAAGCTGCAATTTTGTCGATAATGTCCTGTTTGATAAACCTGAAACTAATTTCAGTATCAACATATCTGTATTGAAGTTGGATTTGTCACACAACTATTCAAATTTATCAATTTAAAAGATAATTTTTATAGCTGTCAACAGACTCATTTTATCCTCTCCAAAGAGAACGAGCTCTTTGGAGAAACCTTTTTCGTTCATGAAACAGGTTTTTATGAACTGAGAAGTAGTCATTATATTTGTTTTTCACCTGTTCTTAAATCTTCTTTTATCAGGAGAAAGTCCAATAGACGTGAGTTCTAAAGGCTTGTGCTGAAACTGATTTGTAAACTAGATTAATGCTTTTTAGCCTATTTCTATTTCATAGTGAAATATGGAATTGAGCTATACGGTTTGTCAATTGGCCGATTGAAGAAAAATATTCAATTAAAAAAAAACTAGTGTACCTGTTGCTCGAATTTGAGCAATTGCTAAGTATAACAGGCGTTATTTTAAAACGAATAACAGTCATAATTTCTGATGACTTAAAAAGATTTGACTCAAAGATTATGGAAATAGGTACTCAGGTAAATATTTAATTTCAACCAAGTTAGTACTTTTTTGTAGCTAACTCCTCGTTCCCACCACCACCCCTGGCTTAAGTCTGGAACTTATTTGCCAGGCCAATTCCCAGTGAATATCTTCTTTCTTTTTAGGCTTCAGTAGTGATGTAAAATACCTGGGTATTTAAAACTCGGGGTAAATACCCTGGGTATTTACCCAGGTAAATACCCAAAATCCAAAAATACCCGGGTATTTTGGGTATTTATGAAATCAATTGAAATTCATTTATATTTACCCCTAAATATGTTATTGTTATCACTACATGATAAATTAGGATAGTCTATAACACCTTTTACAGTAACTTGAAGCTTTGCTAGTACCTTTTATTTAATGATTTAGCACTTTTTTTGTAAATTATACATAAAGTTTCTAAATAAGCATGGGGTTTCGTGTCTTAAATCGAGTAGGCCTACCTAACATCAGTTAAATTTAACATACTAAAAAATAGTATATTAAAAAAGGCTGTGGCTATTTCAATTTTTATCATTTTATAAATTTATAACCATAACATAAACAGGCTGGGTGTGCAGATGTGCAGGATTAAAACAAGCCTGTGATGCTACCTGGGATTGAGAATGCTATAAACTAAACACTCCCTATGAAATGAAATCAAGACAACACCTCATCAGAGAAATAGTGAACCTAAACCTACTTTTACTGTTATTTAATTATGATAGTTAAAATTTCTATTGTATATGAATATGTATAAAAATTTCTATTGGTTTGGAAGGCTAGACAGACCTAAGCCTGATTGACATAGGCAGAATGGCAGAATAAACTTTTCTGTGTTACCACTTAGTTGGAAACAATAATATATTTAGATAAACCTACTAAAAAAATGTAACTCCTGTTTTTTGGTCTAACTTAATATAATTTTGAAAAAAATATTGTGCTAAACTGTAGATTCAAATGTTTTGTATCACAAGTTTATGAAATTAGTTTTTTTTTTTATACCATTGATACCAACAAAAGATCTAGAACAAAAATATTTTTAAATCCGGCCATCTCCTACAGATTGAATTTTAATTATTTTCTCAAGTTGTTTACACATAGGCTAAATGTGTAAAATGTGTAAAGATTTAAACTAGGTTATATCTTCCTGTAATTCTTTCTAAATAATAATTATTACTTTACAAATTATTTTTCTTCACTTCCAATAAATTAAATTCATTTATCTATCATAGAAATTACAAAATCATAAGTAGTCAGGACCAGTGCAACCATGCAACCAGGGTATTATACCGATAATGCTTTATGCTCAGACCTGGGTATTTATGGCGATTATACCCAGAAGTAAAATGCTAGTAGTGACCATATGAAATTTTGTTTATAGTTATTTGTGCAACTAGTG